ACGAGTGTGTGTGGGTGTTTATGTGTGTGAGCGAGTGTGTGTCTGTCCGTGTGTGGGTGTGTGTGCGTACGTGCATGCGTGTGTGTGTCTCTATGTGTGTGTGCGAATTTGTGTGTCTATGTGTGTGTGCGAGAGCGAGTGCGTGTGTGCGGTAGTGTGTGTGTGTGTGTGTATGTGAGCGAGTATGTGTGTCTGAGTGCGTGTGTGTGGGTGTGTGTGTGTGTGAGTGTTAGCATGTGTGTGTGTGTGTGCGCGTGTGCGCGCGCGCGTGTGTGTCTTTTTGTGTGCGACAACGAGTGTGTGTGTGCGCGAGTGTGTGTCTATGTGTGTGAGCGTGTGAGTGTTTGTGTGTGTGTGTGTTGGTGTGTGTATGTGTGCACGCGACTGTGTGTGTGTATGTGTGTATGCGTGTGTGTGTCTCTCTTTGTGTGCGTGTGTGTCTGTATTTCTGTGTGTCTGTGTTTGTGTGTCTTTATTTCATTGTATGTGTGTGCGAGAGCGAGTGCATGTGTGCGTGAGTGTGTGTTTGTGTGTGTGCGCCATTGCGAGTGCGTGTGGGTGTGTGTGTGTGTGTGTTTGTGTGCGTGTGTGTGTCTTTGTGTGTGCGTGCGTGTTTGTGTGTCTGTGTTTGTGTGTCTTTATGTCTGTGTGTGTGTGTGTGTGTGCATGTGTGTATGCGTGTGTGTGCATGTGTTTGTGTGTGTGTGTGCGTGCGTGCGTGTGTGGGTGCGTGTGTGTGGGTGCGTGCGTGTGTGTGTTTGTCTGTGTGTGTGTGTGTCTGTGTCTGTGTGTCTATGCGAGAACGTATGCGTTTGTGCGCGAGTGTGTCTGTGCGTGTGTTTGTGCCCGAGTGCGAGTGCGTGTGCGTGTGGGGGGGAGGGGTGTCTGTGTGTGTGCATCTCGACAAAACACGTATTAAAACCACAACAAAAACCACCACCCAACATCATAATAAAAAACTATAACATATGACCATAAAAAAACTCAATAAAAACCAAAAATTTACTAACCTTCGTTCAGTTTCACCTCCAATGACCACATGATGGATACCTCGCGACTCGATATTAGCGAAAGAAGGTCTCATGCCTCCAACGACCACGTGATGGATACCTCGCGACTCTCTCAATATCAACTGCGAACGAATCCTAATTTTCCAAATTCAATCTCCAATTTCTGAAATTGATTCCCAATTTGTATGAACCCTAAAACCAAGAGACTAAGTAAGAGACTCCACGTCATTTAAAAACCAAGATTAGCATGCCATGTCAACTTACCAATAATGTCGTTTGGCCCGAAATAAAACCTAGTTAATACGTGAAAAAAAAAGAGACCAAGGTTCCAACCCCAAATAGAATAATGCGAATGATTAAACTCACTTTTATTTATAATGTCCAAAAAAAAAGTAATACTTTATTTATTTTAAGCACTTTTTGTATACATTAGAGCTCTCACCTTTATAAATTACGGCACATTCATCGACAAATAATCAAATACCTAAAATATGTAATAATGGTGTAAGAATTCTTGTTCAACTTTTAATCACATATGACATAATCTATATGATTTAGACCATTAGCAAATTAAGAATATCTCCTTTTATTAATAGGTTTTTGTGCTTAATATTATGAACCAAATATTGGTTCAACATACCTTCCCAATTAGGTGATCTTAATAATCCAGTATAACATATATCAATTAAATGGGAATAATGTAATTCATCCCAATACTCTTGTTCAATTCATATACATAAATGCTCCTAATTATTTCGAATCATACCCATTACTCTCAATTGAGATTTGATGATGAATTCTTATCTTTGGAGAATTATGTACAAAATTACAAAAACAACATATCCCATAATATCACACAAACAACATAATGACTATGAATTTAATATTTTCAAAAACAATTACCAATTAGAACGTTCAACAAGCAATATATATAATATCATAATATTTCATTTCAACAATTTGAAAAAGGATGAACATCCGTTGGTTAAACCACTAATAAGTACGATGCAACTTTTTATACATAAGAACGTAGCAGTTTTATACTTCATGATGACTTTAGCCTTTAAGTTTAATTCTTACATTATGAAAAAAAATCATCTAAAAGAGTATCTTACCAAAGGAAATTATAAGATAAGTTTCATTTACCTCTCTTCCCTTTACCAGGTAGAACTATTAGATCTCAAGTCTTTGACAATGCTGATGTTTGTTCCTTGATATTGTTTGACCTATAAATTTATCTAGAATGGTGAGCAATCTAGCTTCAAAATATATGTTGTCTTTTATCTTGAGTTATATCAAGCTCCAAAACATACTCTAGGTCAAGTTCATTCCGTAGTAATTTGAGTCACTCACCCTTCCGTAATATTTTTTCTATAAGATATTTTCGAAATGACGGAGACAACATAAACCATCCAGACTTAATTTTTTGTACCTTTACAAAAGAGAAGGACTGAGAGGACAAAGTGCTGAAATAACCAATTTGTCCTTATCTTGAAATTGTGGTTGAAATTGTGGTTGAAATTGTGGAGGTGCAGAAAGAAATGTCCCTAATGTAAAACCCAATGTTGTATCTATAGGCCGAAAGAGAGGAAAAGGGGTCTGCAAGAATAATTTGCAGGAAATTATAGTTGTACTTTTTGGTGGCAGAGATGTGATGAAGTACTATAATCTAGTAGGACAGCCGCATTTTCCACAAGAAAAAGGTTTTTGAGTTGAGGTCCCAGTTAGGATTGCTCCTCTGATTCTCCAGCTACATAGAATTTCAATTCATGTGACACAGGTTTTGGCATCCAGCTATGTTCAATGACTTCTATGTTTCAACAACCAAGCCAACACAAAAAAACATAAAGAAATACATTTACGCAAATAAAATAGAAGAAAGAAAGGGTTATAGCAATCAATCATCCAGCGTAATGAAAGGGAATAATGTTGCTTGCTTGGAGTAGTGAGGTCTCATCTAAGATTCTGATGACTCATAAATTGGTACATAAAGTAATGCTCACAGTTTCAAATTCATATAAATACACCAATAAATGTCATTGGTTAATAGTGAATAAACCAATAATAAAATGGGCTGCACCAACTTCTCATCAATGTTTCACTCACACAGCTCCATAATATATATGTATGTAATGGCTGAAACAGTACCAAAAATGTGAAAGAAAAGGAGGAACGAAAAACAGTGACAGGTTAGTAAAAAGGGTACCCAGTTGGGTACAGGGGATTGGGTAATCTGGTATTCTACGTCACCGATCTAAAGATGTGATCTTTGTGGGGTTGCATCGATTATACTGTCTGAAAAGTTTGGAAGAAATAATGTGAATTGAGTTTATTTGCTGTTAGGTGAGAGGTGAGACACAGAATGGCAAAAGGGCAGTGAATCAGTATAAGGCAAAACCAGTTAAATTAATATACTGACACCATAGGCCAGTCATGCCAGTTTTAAAGAGACCAAACCAAACCTAAACTAATTAGTTTTGTGTTGCAAAATGGACTTTGATCGGTTCATGAGCAGAAAGGGTAGTACTAAATCATTGTGCCTCAATAATTTTGTACGTTGACATTGTGTAATTAATTAAATGGTGCTTTACTAATAACTATTTTTCTTATCCTTCTACCTGTTATTCATCATATCATTGCCTCTCTACTGTCTTTCTTTCATCAAGTTTAAGAATCTTTCAAATCAAAATTAATCATGTCATTTCTTTCTTTCACATTGGTTCAAATACTCTTCCTCAGGATTATCTTTCTTTTGCTCACCAAACAAAGCAAAGTTAACATTTCAATGATCTGTCATTCTGAATGACAATTGTCAGATCAGTCTAATTCTAGAAGTTGATATAAGAAAATTAGTCTCTTGAATTTAAATGTGAGTCATTTCAGCTCATGATCAATTTCATTAATGGGAATCAAATTGAGCATAATGTGACTTTTGAAGAACAATATTTGAATGACAGTTGAAAGAACCATATCTACCTTTTAGTAATATATCAGACTTAATTTGAGAGTGGGTAATACCAGTTTTAAGAACTGTTATTGACTGGTATTACATTTCTTAGAGGTTCTTGACTTGTTGTAATCATCACGGTAATCATCATCACTCCGTGGTATTATAATATTTGTTTCAAATGCAATGACAGAGAACAAATGGCACATTAAAGAATAATTGATAGAATCCGAAGTGTTGCTGTTAGAAACGGGAATAAACAAAAGCTAAAAAGGAACAGAACCGTAGAGTTTGCCGTTACATATTCCTTGCTTTTTGTCCTAAATTTCATTCACTTACGGACTAACATGATCCTTACATTATTATCATCATCATCATCATTATTATTATTACACACAAATATTTAAAATTCTCAGTAGGAGCAACGTCAACATAGCTGGCTGGTGGGGCACAACAACCCCACAAAGAACAAGCCACAACTTTGAATCTCCCTCTCTCACCCTTTTGGTATGTTATTTTTGTACAAAATTCACAAGTGTCTTTTTACCACATATACAATGTGTAAAATCATTACAAACCATAAAATCATGTGGTAAAAATGTGTTTGATAATACTTAGTAGAGACTGTTAGCTAGATCACATGTGTTTCTTTACCTAATACTGTGATGTTGAAGCCAGATAAAACTAGCATTACTTAATGGAGAATGGTGGTTAAATTGAAACAATTTGATGTGAAAAATGTCAGATTTTGTGGCTGTGCATGTCATGTGTGAAAATAAAAAGGAGATACATGATCTCAGTGATTTTACTCTTGCAATGTACTGTCTCTCCTGGCTCTCCCTTTCTATCTGTTTGTGCTGTTGCAGCAGTGTGAATCTGTTACAGCTTAGATGCCCTGTACACGACACAGAAAAATAAATCCCATTCAACTTGCGGTACCAGACAACAATTATGCCACTTTACAGCCCACAAAAAAAATTATAAAAAAAAGATTATTTTTTGCCCTTCTCTCTCTGTCTTTCTCTGTCATACCCTCTCTCTCTATCTCTGTTTCTCTCTCTAACTGCATTCTCCTCCTAAGACTTGTGCTTCAATATTAGTCAGCTTGAATTGAATTTCCCTTCGGCTGGGGTGGAACCATCAATCAAAAGAATATAAAGTGTCCCTTGTTTTTGTGGGTTTGTTTACATGTACATACATATATATACTATGTGTATATTTATGGTGATGATTTTGAATTGGGGTGTTTGGTGGAGGTGGTAATAAACCTGATAGTGTGTTGTGTCTGTCGGCGCAAGGTCACTTTCTGTCGGCATTGTCTGTATCCACTATCCAACGATGATACACTTCTGAGAGAGAGAAAGAAAGAGTATTTTTTATTTTATCATAATAAAATTAATAAAAGTACACCGAGATAGAGAGGTTTTACTTCTGGGTTTTCATTGCTTACAGAGTGGCACTACCTTTCAGGAAGCATATTCATACCAGTCCTTGACCTTGTCTTTGGAGCCAACTGAGACTTCAAGTGTTGCTCCTGATCTGAAGGGGTTTTCTGATTTTGATGCCACCAAAACCCCACTTTCCAAATTTGCATCTTGTGTGGAAGCCTTGAAAATCTTGGTTTTATTGTCAGATTTGTGTTCAGGGTGGATAATTGGTTCATATAAGGGAAGGTGAAGGGGGTTTGTGGGTCAATCTTGATTTCCGTGAGTGGCATTGGAAGCTCCTTCAAAGTGTCATTGGTAAATGAAGCTCAGGCTTTCTGAGATCCTGCCTCATTATTTATCTCGTGATATAGGCCTGGAGATTTCACAAAAAGTAACCACTTTATTCTCTATGTTCTTCCTTCCATTCTACTCTGCTTTTATTTACTTGTTCATTTGTCTTTTTAGGCAAGATCCAATTTTATCAGCCTGCATGACATTTATTAGAACATACATGCATTTTACTGGGTTTCATCAAATTCTTCCAATTTTTGCCGGTGATGTTAGCTTACCATCATTTATCAATTTTAGGTCTTGCATTATCATCATATTCAATTTTATTCAGTTCTTCTGCTTGCATTCTTCACTGCATGCCTTCTTCATTGAGTTAGAACTCTTGGTCACTTACGGTTCTTTAGTTTTTGGATTCTCAACTGCATCTATCTCCTATATTTTGAAGTACATTATTCTGATCTTTTTCTATTCTCAGGACTCCAGGTTTAATGTATAATAATAGTTCATATAAATTTGAACAGCATAAGTGAAGGGATTCCCACACCAGATGTCAAGTACTCTTGCAGCAATATTTGGAGGAGCTGCAGGAGCCGTGGCATTGGTAGGGATTGCTATACTTATATGGTTTTGTTTGTCTCGCCAGAGGAATGCTTCTAGGACTTCAGAGACAGGTTCCTCTGATCCTTCACAAGGTAAAATCTTACATGCATTTGTTAGATATACATATACACATATATACTCTGATGAATAATTTTCCTAAACTGATGCAAATGAATTCCATTTCATGCAGTTGGAAGACATGGTGCAATCGAGTTGCCTATACGAGACACTAGACGTTTTGAGATGGAAGAACTATCTCTGGCAACAAAAAGTTTCAGTGACAAAAATTTGATTGGAGAAGGGAAATTTGGGGAGGTTTACAAGGGTTTACTTCAAGATGGGATGCTTGTAGCCATCAAAAAACGTCGTGGACTCGCCAGTCAGGAATTTGTGGATGAGGTAATACTCATCAGTTTCAAGCTCTAAAATTCGATTGCATGAGATTCCATGAGTTTGGAATTTGATTAGTCAACAAAATTGCTTTCCTTGATCTGCTTCTTATAATTTGGAAAGGATGCCGTCTTTCTTTTCATGTCTTACTAGTCCTTCTTCTCATCCTTTTCTGTTTCTGCTTCAGAATTTGGAGTACAGTTATATAGTAAACTCCACTTAGCTTCACATATCATTTGATTCAGAAATATGAATCTTTCTTTTCCCATTAGTTCACACTCTAATGTGTGACAACCGTGTCTGATAAAAATATTTACATGTGAGAATAATCTGTATTTCTCTCTCAATTCCTTTAGTGTGACAGACTTTACGTTGAAAATTTACTAGTCAGACTTTTGTGAGCATAAACTGTACCACAGTCTTTGACATTTTCACTTCATAATTCTTAGGCAATGTTCAATTGCATACACTATATAGTCTTGACTAAATGTTTCCCTTACGGTTCATTCTCTTGGTTTGATCTAACATGACTTTGCTTTTCTGTAGGTACGTTATCTCTCATCCATTCACCACCGGAATCTCGTCACTCTTTTAGGCTACTGTCAGGAGAACAATCTTCAGTTTCTTATATATGAATATGTGCCTAATGGAAGCGTCTCCAGTCACTTGTATGGTAAATTTCTGTATATCTGCAAAGCTTAATTAATAATTTTATCTCTAAATAGATTCATAGTTGTACTGAAATACACTGATGGTTCTGTTATCATGTGTTTTATGCTTTTCTGCATGCATGCAAAACTTAACTTGATTTCTCTACCATTCATGAAATCTCTTACATCTTGTTTCGGCTAAATGAATCCTTTCTTGAAGCTCATGATGGTAACTTTGATTTTCCTCTGCAGGCCGTGGTCAACAATCGCAACAGAAGCTAGAATTCAAGCTTAGGCTTTCAATAGCTCAAGGTGCAGCTAAAGGTGATCCTTTGCAAAATCAGTGAGCATTTGTGGCTTTCCTGGTATCAGTTTTCTTCTCTTTTAGATAAAATACCCAAGTATCTTAATGGATCCCACAATTTGTTTTTGTAAGCCATCCTAAAACTTTGAGTTATTTGGCAGCACCTTCTGTATGCAGAAAGCCATGAGCAGCAACTTGTTCCTGATTTTCAAAAGCTCATTCATACTATTTTGTGCAGGTTTGGCTCATCTTCACTCTCTGAGTCCCCGTTTGGTGCATAAGAATTTCAAAACCGCTAATGTTCTTGTGGATGAAAACTTCATTGCTAAGGTGGCAGATGCTGGACTCCGCAACTTTCTGGGGAGAGTTGACACTGCAGGCTCCTCTTCTCAAGTGGCAACAGATGAAATATTCCTTGCATCAGAGTAATATATATCTCTATATCTCTATATCTCATGAATCACTTTTGCTCTTCTGGTTTTCATGCACATCATCATGCCTTGCAGGGTGAGAGAGTTCAGACGATTTTCTGAAAAGAGCGATGTATACAGCTTTGGAGTATTTTTGCTGGAATTGTTAAGTGGGAAAGAAGCAACAGCATCACCATTTCCAGACTCTAATCAGAATCTGGTTGAATGGGTAAAGTTTAACTTATATGTACTATCACTATAGAGGCTTTTCACACAAACAAACTAATCAAAAACCAATGTTTGCAACATCTGACTTTTAAGTCAGTTATGGTAAGAATCAACACTATAATCACACCTCACAATGTAAAAATCCTTTCACCACATGAATACATATACCACTTAGAATTGTGATCCATAAGTTAGAATTTGCATGTGTGATATTCTTCTATTTTCTAACATTATACATGCAAGGTGACATGACACAACTTGGTGTTGAAAGTGTGTCATAGCTAGTTTTCATGATGTGGTTTGGTGTATTCTTACGAATTTGGATTCTCTGTTGTGTTTTTGGTGTTATTTCTATGTTAAGCCTTCAAAGTATACTGATATAGGTATATTAAAAAAATTTAAATATATTTTAAAACATCAATATCAATGTATGAGTGTATTTTGAAGGTTTAACAGAGAGACAACAGCAAAGAATCCAGCAGAGAGAACCTGGACTCGTAATCTTACAGGTGAAGTCAATGAGCTGCTTATGTAATTGATTTTTGGTGTTCTTTTGTTCTGCATAATAAAGGTGGTAAGCAATGAAGAGCGTGACATGATGTCTTATGATCGGAGATTGGAGAGTAGTTTTACAGCTGAAGGAATGGAAGATTACATCATGCTCATGATCAGATGCTTAGACCCTTCAAGTGAGAGAAGACCTGCAATGAGCTATGTGAAAACGGAACTTGATAGGATCATAGAGAAGGAAATGAAATTGACAACAATCATGGGAGAAGGAACCCCATATGTGGCTCTTGGAAGCCAGTTATTCAAATCAACAACATGAAAGAAAAGGTCTTAAAAATTGTTTCTTACTTATATATATATATATATATATATATATATATATATATATATATATATATATATATTATTTGTTATATTTGTGCATTACTTCTTTGCTCTCTTACTTTGCTTTCCCTCAGTGCATACCAGAAAATAGGGTCAGTTGCTTCCTAAGTGTATAAAGAGCACCTGTATCTCCCTTTATCCTTCTCTTTTTCTTTTCTTTTTCATGGGCCAGTCAGTGAAAAGCTGTATTCTTTACTCTCTTTTTCTTCTTCCCCATTTTTTCCTTCATAAATGTATGAATTCTCTCTTGTAAACCATTATTTGTTGTTAATATGACACTCAAGATTGGGTTGGTGTGGTAAACTATTCATCATCTTTATTTTCACTTTCTTCTTTTTCCAGTCTCCACATTTTCTCATGGTTTCTTTGCATTAGCATCTCCAAAAACATTCTTGAAAAAAAATTATTTTGTATGAGTTAAAGATAACTCATTCATAACATAAACACCCAAATTAGAAAAAGTATACATATTTTTTGTTGTTGACAGGCAAAGATTTAAATAACCCTTACAATAAGGAGAAGAAGTTGGTTTGTGTTTTTTCACTATAAAAGGTACAGATCAAAGGATAGTGATGGAGTTGTTTCACAGAACTTTGCTTAGATGTTCTGTCACCAGAACACATGAAAGATACATTTTTTTGGTCCATAGAATCAAACGTATTCATCCAATAAAATAGTATTTGTATTTTCTTATTAGCCTTATTATTTTTATATGGAATGAGAAAGTATTGTTATTTTTTACTTGGTAATTATAATTATATTCGTTTTCATTTATCACCGAGAAAGGGACATGAAATCGTTAGAAAAAAAATAATGGGTTTAAAAATTGCAGTGGTAGTTAGATTTATGATTTGCGATTTTTAACGAGGAAGGGAAGATAGCAGGCAAATAATGGTGATAGGGTACTGATAAGGAGACAAAGTCTTTTTTGTAAAACTTGTTGAAAATTTGGTTTCACATCACTACTGTCATTCCTTACGTCACATTATAACATGGAAAGGAAGTGTTACAAACAGGAGGACGTAATTAAACACCAACCACAACATTGTTTCACTTTTTAAAATTACACTCACGTTATAAGACTTAAAAGACTCTATATTTTAAATAAATAATACTTATTTTCTAATTTTAAATAGAATTCACTTGTTGTTGTTATTTTCAAACAGGTCATGGTGCTTAAAAATAAGAGTTGATTTAAATGTAGGTTTTTTTTAAAATTTTTATAAATCCTTTAAAGATAAAATTGTGATAACGTTGCTCATTTTAAAGCAATCATAATTTAAACTGATTGATTAAGTTGCAAACCGTTAAAGTTAATATGTTCCAATATTTGATGTTTGGTGTTGTATCTTATGAAGGTAAAGAATTGTTTTGTTGATAGTTTACAAATAAAATGACAAGTAGTATATGTTATACAACACACCTTTTTTATATGAAAAAAATAAACAATCTTAAGTTATTTTTTTTCCTACTATTAATTTTATTTTGAGTTTTTCGTCTCCACTGACGTGTGTGGAAATTATCAGAAGAGAATTCTAAAGATAGATTTCTATACAAATAACGAGTATTTCTTCTTTTTAAGTTGTTGACCTCGTTTCTATAAGTTGTTTGAATATTGTTTTTAAATAAAGTGGAGATGTTAATCTTCTTTTCTTGCCATCGATCTTTTCTACACCTATAAATACGTGTTGAGTGATTCTCTCTGCACCTCACCCATCTTCCGCTGCACCTCCTTTCATATTTCCACTTGTCCCCTGTAATCTTTTGACTGCTTTTTTTATTTGACTCATTCAAACAATTAAAAAAGCACCAAACCCTCCCTCCTTTGCCTCTTCTTTCCCAAACCCTACACCTCCTTTCTTCTTCCTTCCTCCTGTGCCACTCTTTGCCGCATTTCATATTCCTAAACCCTACACCCCCTTCCTTTCTCCTCTCTTCTCGTAGAGTGCTCCTCCTCATTTTACTTGTTGTAGTCTCACACTTCATTCTCACAAACATGTTTGGTGGCGAAGACCTTGCCTTATTTGGAAGTGCAGTTGAGAGGTTGCCGGAGTGAGCGTGGAGATTGCGTTCATGGTAGCTGCACTTGGAAGGTGAAAGTTGACGCTCGGTCGCACTTGGAACTATGGTATGTTCACCGTAGTTGGAAGTTGCGGTTTAGGTTCTTTTTTCTTGCTCCTGGGCATGGCCGTTGTGGCCTCTACTTACATCCACATTTGCGGCGGCTCCGACTGCCCAAAGGTCATGTAGGTGTCGCTTCTAGTTGACGACTATTTGTGGTGTTGGTCTCTGCCTTGGGAATCGTGGGGTCACTACCACGTCAACATGGCGCTCTACGCGTACCTCTTCATCACGTTCGCGCTCATCGTGGGCCTCGCCATCAATGGTGGTCGCAACAGTGACTTCCTCATTTTGTTTTTTGAGTTTGGTTGTTGTAAGCCACTAGCATATTGTGGGTTTATAATGAAAGAATGGTACATTCTGGAAGTGCCAAAAGAGGGTCCAGCAATGAATAATTCTAAGTGCACCACTTGGAATGAAAGAGAAGATTGGTTGGAATATCATTAAAATTTTTCAAAATTTAATAACGAAGGGCAAAAATGGCTATTGTGGAGATCTCAGGTTGAGATGAGTGAGGGTGTAGGTAGAACGCTACCTTTTTCAAAAAACACATTTTCAAGCTTTTATTCTTCTTCTCCTTCTTTGGTTCTTTTTTATCTTCTATCTTTCTTTTGTTAAACCATGGTTTATTTATTTAGTTTCTTTAGAGTTTATTGTTAATGTTGAGATTTTTTTTTTGTATTATAGTCGAACATGTCATTAGGATCCAATAATTCTACTTTGTATGAGATTTTTTTTCTAATGTTAATGTGTAGAAGTATGAGCTTTACTAGTAATTATTTCACGCATGTATTAAAGATCCTCTATCCTACAGGGGATAGGTGTTAGTGGGACAAAGATGGACCAATAAGGATTACATATATCTATTTTCGGCTTGTTAAGGTTCTTCTTGATTCTTTCCAAATTTGTGAATCAACTTTGACTTATCCAACATGTTGTTGACTTGGTGATGAATTATTTGATCATGTCTTTTACGATATCAATCAACTCACTCATTTCTTCTCTAATATCTTTTATTTTGTTAATCAACTCATTTCCTTTCAAATCTCTTTTAAACTCATTTATTCTTTTTATAGAAATGAGTTAGTTTATTATTGAATTAAAAAATAATAGTATAACAAATAAAAGAGTTTGTAGGTAAGTTGAGATTGAAAAGATAAAAATAATAGTCATACTATTTTATTAATGACAAAATCAAATCACAATATACTTACTCAAAAATAAATAAATAGAAAACATTTTGAGCACTTAATAAAATGGAAACATTTAAGAGCTTAATTAAAAATATCTAAATTTATGAAATAAAAATGGAAACATTTAAGAGCTTAATTAAAAATATCTAAATTTATGAAATACTTAAAATATAATAAATATTTTTTATTGAATAATATTTTCCATATAGGATAAGGACGTATCTCAATAAAATAATAACTTTTGTTCGATGAGTGTACTAACCTGGTTGAAAAATAACATAAAAAGTATTCAATAAAACATATATTTTTTGAAAAACTTAATTAAAAAATCTAAATTTATGAAATACTTGAAGTTTAATTAAATCCTTTTTAAATGTTATTATTAAATTATTTTTCCAGATATCTTAATAAAAGGTAACTTTGGTCCACGAATGGACTACTTTGTTGAAAAATAACATAAACCACAGTTTATAACACAACATCACCAACCGATAATTTTTACATTATTAAATATATTTAATATTAAAAAAACTATAAAATAAAATGAAGGGTACAGTTGACTTTGAGCACAACAATCGACGTCTGCAATCTATTCGAAAGAAGTCTCAAACACCATTGAACAGTGGAAACTAAAAACTGTCACTACCTTCTCTCTTCGCGGATTAACATACTGCAATCACATACAGGCATAGTTTCGTGCATTGTATGAAAGGTGCTCTCAGAATAATACAAACTTTTAACAAACTATTTAATTGGAAATGCTGGAATGCGTTTCAGTCAGACCCTCCACTCCCAACACCAACGCTTCTATTCCTACACCTTCCAATTCAAATTCCAATTCTCAAGGTAAAACCAAAACCATAACCTCTTTATTCTAACCCCAACATGTTTGTCAAAATGTCTCACCGAATCTTCGCCTTGTTTCGTAGGGAACTCCACGGATGTAGAAGAATCAGAAGAAGGAGAAGAAGAAGATGAAGACGCTTCCACCGCAAGCCTAAACGTGTCGACCGAATTCCTCCGCGCCGTGCAGGCCCCCTCCTACAACGAGATCCGCTCCATCATCCAAGCCCCTCCGCCGGTCCACCACCCCCACGACGAAGACTCACACCACCGCTACCTCCTATCTCAGCTCCTCCAACCTGACTCCAACAGCGTTCGTGAAGCCCTCGCCAAGTCCACCAGCAAACTCACGTGTCTCGTCTCCACCTACTTCGACCACAGCGAAACCACCTCTGACTTCTGTCTCCGCCTCCTTCTCACCATCCTCCGCGCGCGCGACCTATACGCGCCACTCTCCCGTCTCCTCTCCGTCCTCCCCGCCGATGGGCCGCCGCTCTCCCAGGCCCAGTGCGACCGCGCCTACGACCTCTTCCTCCAATTCGACAGCCAGGAGAACCCCTTCGTGCTCTCTCACCTCCACCAGCTCCGCGACAGCTTCTCCCACCTGAAGGGCGACATCCAGCGCGACCTCCGCAGGTGCCACTCTCGAATCCGTATGTTTCGCCACGCCACCGCCGGGTGCGCCGTTATTTCCGTCGCCGTAATTGCCGCCGTCGCCGTCGTCGCCGTCCATGCGGCAATAGGTTTCACTGCCGTAGCGGCGACGCCGTTTTGTGTTCCCCGGCAGAAGAGGAGGGAGCTTGCGAGGTTGAAGCAGCTTGAGGCTGCGGAGAATGGAACTCTTGTGGTGAATGACATCAACACCATTGATAGCCTAGTTGATCGGCTTCAAACCGCGGTGGAAGCTGATAAGGCTTTCGTTCGGATTGCGTTAGAGAGGGGAAGGGAGAGGCATCCCATTCAGCAGGTGCTTAAAGAGCTTACAAAGAACCAACCTGTTTTGGAGCATTTGCTTGGGGATCTTGAGCAACATATATACTTCTGCTTTTACAGTGTTAACAAGGCCAGATATGCCCTTCTCAAAGAGATATGCAATCATCAAA